TAATGTTCAGGTAGAAAAGTTCATGTCCTAATCGTACCTGATTTGAATATCTGGATTATAAAGCCTGCCCCAGGTGTAATGCCTTGTATGATTAATGGCAGAGGAAGAACTAGTTATCTCTGCCTCGCTCCCTCCCTATCAGTGTGGGCACGAACTAGCTCACTTTCATGTTTCATTAATCTTATTCAGGCTGTTGAGCACACCTTCGGTAAAAAATCTCCCGTCTCATCAACACTGTTACTTTGGAGTGGTGAAAAATGTCCTTTTCTCTCCGTGGAAAAGAGAGCAGCGTTTTTTCTTTCACTTTTGGTCAGCTCAGACGGCGGCATCGACAACATATTACTCACCCGGGAGGCCACTGGACTGCAGTGTTCACAGAGAGGCACTGCCTCTGGCTCTCTGAATATCCCATTCAATCACATATTGTACTATATATTTGCTTCGCTGCAGGGGACACTTTCAAAATATCACTCTGACAGACAGTTTTGTAACTCGTCCTATGTGGCATCACTTCAACGTCACCCATTTATCATTTTTGCATACATGAAAACGTGTTTTCGTTGTGTATTTGAAAGACCACCCTGTCATTACTAAGTCCACTTGACTGTGCGACTCCTTCCTGCCGGTTCCTCGTGTCTCACAGCGACTAAAAACAAGCTGGTGTCTTTTTTCCATCTGACAATTGGATGTGTGTTGTTACCATACGGCTGCTTCTGCCGTTTACCTCCTCTCCACCCCCCCACCCCCCTCTAGCTTTGCCTCTGCCTGCTCTCCTCCTCTGTCACGGAGTGGGAGCCAGGTAGTGACGCATCATCATTCGTTATTCCACTGAACACTGTCGATTCCCCCTCTGAGCCTCGGTTTCATATCTCATCAGGAAAAATGACAGCTCTAACCGTGGCTGGCTCCAGATTAAAAAATCTGGTGTGCCGTGCCACGGGCAGACCTATTTGCAGCAAAAAGCCTTTCAAATGGGAGAAGGGGAGTTAGCGAGGATACATCCATCGGATGCCTCAAATGTCCCTGTTAAATTAGGCTGTAAATATCAAAACACAGTCGGAGTAAAATGCCACGATAGCTCACTTTTTGAAGGAGTTCTCTTTGAACGCACCTTGGTTTTTATATGAGCCAGAAGCCATTTGTAGAGGCAGGGTTCTGTAGATAAAATGTGATATAGGGTCGCTGTCACTTTTTAGACCTGCTGAATGATGAACATCTAAATGATCGTATTTGGAACAAAGGCCGATTAACAACGGCATAAAACTTTGCTCTAACTGTACTTAAGGCTGGGTACTGAACCTTAGAACTTTAGTGTCCAGAAACATCGATCAGGTCATGCTTTGATCAGAAATTGAACAATGTTGAATATTTTCCAAAGTAATTGTCATGTCTTTCTCACAATATAATTAAAAATAACTGATAAGAGTATCTACAGGAGTACCATTATCGATAAAAGCCTCACCATACCCATCCCTAGTTTTGTTGTTTTGCTGTTTTTGTCAAAGAAGCACTTCACTCACAATGTTGGATCAAACTCATCGCGCCAGACGTGAGCAACAGTTGGTTTATAATGTTAGCTGTGCTAAGAGGACACAAGACTTTGTGTCATCAGAGATAGAAGTTGTGGGAGAAAAATGTGTGTCTTGAAATATATTTGTGTAAAATCAATCATATCCATAATTTCAAATGTATCCATGTATATTCACATTCATACTGTGATATCAGCCGGTATCATTGTCATATGTTATCCACGTCACTGAGACAGGGAGTCTCGTATAGCGACCTTGGAGCCCGGGTGAAGATAGAGGGGAGGGGGGGGTGACGCAGATAAACAAGTAGGGCAAGATTTCTAACGCTGGGCAAGAACGGGAGCCGGCCGCTGTGACGGGCGGCCAGAGGCGGAATCAGGAGAAGACGAGTGTGGAAGGCGACGGTGGTTAATCAAAAAACACTCCGTTTTGACTTGGCCAAGGTGCACAGTGTAACTTGTCTAGTTGAAAGTTCAGAGAGGAGGGGCACATCTCCGAAGGGGGGGGGGGGGGGAGGACTTTCGGTTTACTTGTATACTTTGTGATGCAAATAAATCTGCGTGAACTGAAGTAAATCCAATCTCTCTGGTGTTCTGTGGGTGTTTGTTACCGAGTTCCTCACAGTGAGATCCTGTGGTGTCTCACCACGAGTCAGGTAAGTCAAAGTCAAAGAAGCGGCTCATCAACGGGAAGAAAATCCCCACAACATTCTCTACTTTCCTGTAACGCCAACAATATTAGTATTTATCTATGTTCATAAAAAATCATGAAAGAGCCAAAAGACTTCATCGGAAACGGCAATCTGTAGGATTTATCTAATAACTGGCTAAATAAATCCAACAACAGGTGTAACTTGAGGACAAAGGAAGTATAATGTTTATGAAAGAAGTTGTGTGTATTTATCCTTCATAACCTTCTTGCTGCTCATAGACCATCCTTAATATAAAAACACCACTTTAGAAGAAACACAATTCCGATTCATTCTCATAAATATTGAAGTTATTATTATTATTTTTTTTTTTAAACGTACGACCCCTTCAAATATGACTCCCCGCCCCCAGGATCCATAACTGGTTTCTTTTGTTTGTTCACCTACAAAGGGTCAAACAAATGCAAAAGCCACACCTCCACTTGGACTGGATAGTAGGAGACTGTGGATTGGATTCTTGATTGGAAGTTGGTGTTAAGTTGGAGCATTGTGGTGACTGCAACATCCCAACTTTGATTCCCGCCAGAGACCTTTACCGCAGCTCAGTTCCCGCTCCCCCCCTCACTTCTGGTCACATCTGTAATGTCCCCTAACTCATAAAGGCAGACAATTCCCCAAAAACAGAAGTTCACTAACTCTGTCTGAATAACATTTACAACTTAGTGGAACCACCGTGTGTGTTCTTTAGAGAACTTGATGCTGGACTCAGAGATGTGGTGCCTGCCCGTCCTGTAGACGCTACACAAAGATGTCGTGCACATTAAAAAAAGGCTTTGAGAATGTGTTTTACGAATATTACATCTTTATGGTTTCAGGTTTTGGTTGACCAATCAAGTTAAAACCAGTTGTACAGACTTGGCTTTTAGAATGGTGCTCTGGGATACGAGGAGGAGATCGTCCAACACTCTGCTGCCCCAGACACAGACTAGCTTCCAACAACTGGAGCGGCGCATAAGGCCACTCGATGACTACATTAACAAAATTAGATGTACTGCCATTTATGTGCTTGAGTTTTTAAGAGTCCATCAAAGTAAATAGCACGAGTGGTGCATGCCGAGGGTGTGACACGGTTAACAAGGTGCTCCATGTTACTCCAGCTAGAATGCTACGTTAGCTGACGTTAGCTGATAGTGTTCCAGCCCCTCCACTGTGTGATGCTATACACTACTTATCATTGCATGATTACATTATCACATTCAGTTTAATTACCTATTGCAAATTTATACTAATTTATTTAGCAAGTTTTTTCCGTATTGAACTCCTGCACTATTCTACGTCTTAGATTCTCTTTTTTTCCTTTGATACATATTTAATGAGCATCGTTGAAGGCAGCCTGAGATCCCACATCTTCATCGCCAATGATTGTTGTGCAATATGACATTGAAGAACTAATGTTGAATGCAATGAGTAGTGCGAGTGGGCAGCTGTTAATAAGAAACGCTTCATATGAAAGTACATGCTTTCATTTTGTATTAAAAAAAAAAAATCTCTTTTCTCATTGGATTCCTGTTCCAAGGGCAAGTTGCCAGTTCAATCCTTGTACACGGCCGTGCTGAACAAAAGAGAATGCAGATGATGTGCTAGTTGAAGGCAATGCTTAGAAAGGTCCATGGTCAGAAGAAGAAACTGAATATTCCCATTTAAAAAGAAAATACCTGTTGTGAATCCTCACAGCATCAACCCGTCTATAATCTCAGTAAATATCTGCATTATCTTACAAATGTATCCTGAATAATACTGCTTGCTCCCATAGCTATTGTATAAAAGGATAGTGTGAGGACTTGTGGTGGGTAAGGAAGTAGCGATTGAGAACTTTCTTTCAATGAACTCAGTCGTAATGAATGTCGGCGATCAGCGCTCTGACAACAGCTTCGTCAACAGCTTCTCCATCTCCTGGAATAGATTTGGACGCTCCAGTTTCTCTTCCGCTCCTCACAATTAATCCTAAAACAATAAAATCTATAAATCATGAGCAGATGCTAAGGTTTCTGATATCTAGGTGACGGCGTGCATCAACATGAAGCATATTCCTAGAGAGGCACCAGAACTTCACACAATTAAGAGTTTCTAACACAAATAAATCATATCCGCCAAGCGTATCATTCAATTACATATTCATTAGCGAGTTGTGTACTGAGCAATGATCAACGGCAGATTTGTTCAAATTAGCATAATACTTTTTAACACACGATCTAGTTTTCATGAAAATAGGTCAGGCCTCCCACTGTTATTTGGTGTCTTTTAGAGAGATATTTGGCAGCTATTTTAGACCGACTCAACAGTGCGAACGGCTTCCAGAGAGTCTGAAAATATATCTTAAACAGCCCGTGAACCCGGAGAGCTCCTGACTTCTGAGTGTCTGTCAGTGCACAGAGCGGCTGACATCAGGCCCTGCCTGCATTAGTTCACATGGAACACATTAGCTGCAAACAAAAAAGGCCGTGGCTGACAAACAGGCAGCTAAGTACAACGATATATAAGACGTATTGTTTGACGCACTGTTGACATGTAGTTCTACGTCTCATCTGCATGCCGCTGGATCGTACCGTCTACCCATGATTCTTATCCAGTCTGCGAAAACACCATCAGGATCAGCAGCCAGAGGAAATACATCAATTATTAAAGTAAATTAAAAAGAATGCAGATGCTGAGATACCTTTTTATCAGGTACAGCAGGAAAAGCGGATCCAATAGAGCAGCTCAGCTCAGAAGCCTCTACAACGATATTCTGTTCATTAACACGTGTAATCTGGAGAACGTACCTTCTCTGGAGAAGCTGGAGGGTTGAATCTTCTGGCACAGACCAGGAAGGAGTCGGGTTGAGGTTTGCTGTTCTTCACCTCGGGATCATCGCCCACAACGATGTGGTCAAACAGGCCGAAGAAGTCCTGGTGTTGGCTGGTCTTCAACTTGAACGTGGCACCGGCGGAGCTGGTGGCCACCGCGATGGGGATACCGTGCTTTCGGAGGTGGTGCACCAGTTTCTCCACACCTAGTGGTGCACAAGATGAGACTCAATGTTGGACTAACATGTCGATATGGAGCCCCTTACAAGTCCACGGAACCATTCCAATACATCTCACTGAGAGCTCCCAGTTCATCTCATGGAGTTTCTTCATATAATCTGTTAATACAGTGATCACAAAATCCAACAGCTCTACTCCAAATACTTTTTTCAGTTTTGGGAGTGTGGGGGTTTTTTTGATGACTGTACGACATTCAGCAACACCTCTTCACATGAATACATGCAATGATCCTTAGGGTGATCCAGTGTAAATCAAGCATTTGGTGATGCTTGACACAAACTTCCAAAACGTAAAAAATGTATAAAAACTATTCAGAGTAGAGCTATAGGATTTGGTCGCACACATTTAAATGTTTGTTTTCACAGAAAGTCCATGACATGAACTGCAAGGTTTTGGACAGTTAGTGAATGTTTTTATTTTGTTTTTACTCCAAAGGTGACCAGAGAGCATTGTGGGAGGATTTGTATCAACAGCTTCCAGGACGACAGTCTATAAAAATGTAATAAAAACTCCCTGAAGGAACACACTGCCTCCACTTTGCTGTTAGGTGAGGAGAACCTGAACGCTGAACACTTCTCATGTACCCAGTAAGCATTGCTGTTCCACATCGCAGGCCATAACTCGGTTATTATTGGAGGAACACTTATACTTAAACTACCAGCCGTGTGAGCACGATGGTGCACTTAGTGGCAGAAAGTCCTAAAGAGAAACTACCAGAGCTCCTCCTCAATCACCGACATTTATACGACGTCTCTGAATGAACACTGACAACAATAGTATCCAGATCACGTATTACTTTTTTCAACATATTGCAACATTACATTTGAAAATCATCATTTTTTTGTTGAAGTTAAGTGTCTAAATCCATTTTTTGGTATTGGATGTTGGCCACCTCAGCAGAATCAAAGATCATCATTAAAAATATGTTTTTGTTAAAAATAAGAACATGATAGGTCCTGATAGCATCTCTTCTGTATATAGTCCATTCAAACTATACTTATTTTGATGTTAACAACAGAGCGCATGATCAACAGATGTACCAGCATGCACTGCATGTGAGGCTCCCAACAGTGAACACTGTTCAACAGCACAGATCAAATGCTCTCCATTATAATTCAATGCAGGCATCCATCGATGTGTTACATGATGAGAGGATGCAGCACCTGAATAATCTTCCTTTTGTAACACACGTACACATTTATTAGATGTGCTTTGCTTTCTAAACCGCATTCTAGTGTTCATAATAGAATAGAACAGGTAAAGTAGCACACTGGATTAAATGAAGCCGCAACGGCAGAAAATGACGTAATCACGGCTCCGCAAGTGGTCGCGTCAAATTGTTTACATGAATGAAGACGACAATGAATGAAGGAGCTCATAATCGGCCCACTGTTGAGCTTAAAAGTTGTATTTTTCAGTATTATTTGTGGGGGTCCTAAAATATGGCACTGGGGTATATGTGGTAAATAAAGGCATACCTGGCATGAGCTTGGCAGAGGGGAAGATCCTGTCCTGTATCAGCCTGGTTTCAGCGAGGAGTTCCTCGGCTGTCAGGGGAAGCTCCAGAGCGTCCCGGATCATCCGGGCACCATCCAGAGCCTTTTTACCCATCACCGTCGCCTTCACGTCCCAAGTGTACTGCTTTCCGAAGCGCTCACAGACTTGCTGGAAGGACACAGTGTACAGACGCTCTGTGTCTGAAATGAGAAAAATACAAAAAGAAAATGATTACCTTTCAATTACATGTCATGTAAGATTGCATATGAATGGGACATTAGGGGACACTGCCATTAGTCATTTGTATCTATTTTAGAAAATGAATAGAGACTATAACAGTTCCCTGTGACCTCAAACTACAGCCTATTAGAAATAACGAATGTAGGCTTTTATAGTGTAAAAAGGGCAGCATTCAAATTAGGCCATTTCCTAACAATACATCAAAAAGTAACGTTCCCCTCCTTTTGACTGTAAACGTTTGGTACGTAGTGTAAGGTTTGTTCCACATAAAGATGTATTAAATGATAGCCGAATTCACCCGGAGGTTATTTAAAGGCATATTTAGTCATAATGTTCGATGTGATTCGTTGTTTTTGTCCGCGTGCAGAGAAATCATGTATTTATTGCTTTTGTTTATGCAGTTCGGCACGCCGACTGTTCGCCACGCGCGGAGCGAATGAATGAGAGTCTACGGAGCGTTAGCGTCGGTGCAGCCTCCTCGTGTGACATGCTCAACAACACTACAAGATATTGGACACATAGTACGGTTAAACACCTAATAACAGTCCATCCATATCGAAAATGACATGGCTCACGGGTTTGTAGGCGCTACCAGAAGCAAACATGTTTGACTCATGAGCTTAGTTCCGCGTTGAAGATGAGAGGAGGAGGAGGAGGAGGGGGGGGGGGCAAACAAAAAGTAACCCGATATATGCTGTCTAGCATAATAAAAGCTGCTTATTATATGTAATGCCCAGATATTAGGCCGAAATAAGGTATTTACACGTTATTTACAAAACTGGTCCGGAAACAAACGAAATATTATTTTCTTTGTGTGAAATTGAGCCTCAGCCTGCATAGGGATGCTTTCCAGCCGTCCCAGCGCAATGGCCATTGGGAAATGAAGTCCTTACTGAATTACAGCGTCATATCTATTTGTTTATATAAAGGTTAAAATCCATTCCGGATGATTTATTCCATCTAGATCAAGATTTGAATTTTCATCTTTGCAATTTATGCATTTTTCTTTAGGTGCAGTTTTTTCTTGTTTGACATTATTACTCAGATATGGTAAAAGCACTGCAAATATTTCTGTGTAATAATGAATTTCACTTCTTCACTTGCATGTTTGAAAAAAAAAATATATATATATGTGTATATATATAAATCAATGTGACATGAGAATCATAATGAGAAAACATTTGGATCTTTTACACTCAATGCAGGTTTCACGACCATGCAAACACATGATCAGCGCCACCTTGAATATATATGTAAATAGATAGATAGATCGATTTTTGTTAGACTCCTTTCCTATTAAATACCCGTCCTTTCTTTAATAAATTCATAGTCTACATAGTCATGGGCTTAGTTGCACTAACCGTGACTAATTAACTGATTTGCAAAGACATGCAAGTTCTCAGGATAGGTCTATAAATTATGCTCTTCTACATGCAGATAACAGAATTATATTTAATAAAAACATTTGTGTACATCTAACGTCTCCATTCTCCAGTGTGTCACAGAGACGGGCTGCTGCAAATTACTGTCAAAAAACTGTTCACTGCATTGTTAGCAGCGCTGCCATATTTTTCTGAATAATTGGATCCTCCAAGTTAACAGAGTTTGTCTTGTTAGTGTGAAATGTCAGGGGGAGTGAGAGAACCCTGTAACTTGGACAATCTAATGAGTTTATGGATTCCAGGTCTAATTGGGGGACGGTGAGAGTGAAACGGAGACTTTGAGTTCCGTTGAGTGTGCTCCGTGTCAAATTGCGTAGTTTAGGGAATTGCCCACACGGAGCGTGGAACACTGAGTAGGAGCATGAACCTTGTGATGTACAACTTTCTCATGAAACATTGTTTTGTATAAATATCATACAACGGAGAAATGGTGTATTTTTATTTAGTTCTAGCATGATCATGATTGCAGAGGAAACGGCACTAGAAATAAGTGTAAGCCTGATGATTCCTCCAATCCCACAAATCAGCACAACAAAAAGATGACAGTCCTGAAGAAGTAGCAGGATATTGCTATGAAGCTAGCCCGGAGCGACTCTTTGCTGTCTGACTGAAACAGCATGTCTGTAGTTATAAATAGTGGAGTGGTGAAATCACAGCCAGAAACACGGGTTAGTGTTCACATCTCCCTCTGGAGTGCTGCAGAGACGCCGCTACAATTGGACTGTGAGATGCTCATATCCAAAGCCTTTTGTTTGCTGCCTAATTATTACACTGAGATCTGTATATAAACATTGTTATTTTCATTACAATTCAGACAACAGTCAGTGTAGTCCATCATTAATATGATAAGACACAGTTTACTTGACTTAATGTCGAACTGATCAAGACACTGATTGTTTCATCTTATTTCACCTCTTAAACCCCAAAATCCTCTTATATTCCATATGTAGCTTTTTTAGTACAAAGCCCGTCTTACAGATGAGCCAAAGGATCAGAAAATAAAGCAGAGCCCACCTTAAAGGTGCAATATACAGGCAGGTTTTATGCTTCTGCAATGACGCCGTGGGACGGGACGCCGTTATCAGCTGTGACCACCGTATGAGTGCGGTGCAGAACGCCGACTGTGAGCTAACCAGTGGGGCACGCTCACATGCACTAACATGCAGTAAAAGCAAGAGCAGCTGGCAGGTAAGTCGACAAAGCAACAAAGCAAAGCTGGTATTACGACACACAGAGGGACAGCGACTTCATTCTCATGTAGACATTACTCCATTAAGTCTTCACACAGCAAATAGTTGTTTGTCACTATATTAATGCTCTGGATTGGAGAAGGAAGCGTGGGGATTGGATAAAGGGCAGTGAACCTTGAGACGATTATTGCCAAAGACATCTTCTGACCACCCGGCCAGTCCAGCTAAACCAGCTATAACTTTAGGCTTTTTGCTAGCCATCTCCTGGCTAATGTGTGGTCGTAGCAAAAAAAGACGGATGAAATAAAACTTCACGCGAACCCAGGTGGCAACCTCCGGTTCTGTGGAATGAAACTAATGCAGAAGTATCTTACAACTTTCATTCTCTCTAGTGACCAGCAGGGGGCGACTCCCCTGGTTGCAAAAACTAGTCTGACACAGAAAGTTGTCTGATGTGAAGTAACGCTATCAGTTAACTATTGCTAGCGTCCCTCTAAACTAGCCTGAGCGAGGGCGCTCTGCTAACTGTGAAAGCATTCATGTCGTAGTAAACCATGTCTACATTAACACTATCAGCTAACTCTTGCTAGCGTCCGTCTCCGTTAGCCTCAACGAGTGCGCTCTGCTAACCGTGAAAACAGTCAAGTTGTAGTAAACCATAGAGATCTACATCCAAGTGAACCTGCCATCTGATCTAATGAGGCTGACTTCCACTGTGGTTCCACTGTCTTCTAAGGAAACTCAAAATGCAAAGGTGGATTATTAGGTTTACTATATCATTAGGACGATAGAGAGCCATTTCACTCTGGTAGTGCCAGAGAACACAGACGAGGAGCTGTAGGCTATCAAATGAACGAGGAGACATGAAGAATGGAGCGAAGGCAGAAAGACAACAAGAGCGTCCTGAAAAAGGACACATGAATCAAGAAAGTAATAGTGTTCCTGCGCTCTTCTCATCAGACCTGTTGATGCCAGACTTGTATATGTATTTCATCATTACATGCTGTCATGGTTATATCTTCATCTCCATTCACTTTGCTGCCTCCGTTTAGCCAGTAATTCTGTGCATTAACATGTCTTGTTGTTAAGGATCTTAGCCCTTTTCAATACAGACTACATCGAGTTCACACTTGGATTGTTGGGAGTTTGAACCTCACAAGTTAAACCTGAAACTCCCAAGAACAGGGGGATGCAGTTTGTTTAATTTGCATTCAGGACAACAGTGTAATTGGTACTAGCTTTATACTGGTACCATGGCCTCAGACATGGAAGTGCTGATTCCTATTCCCACTGCTTCACACTCTGTTCCCAGTATGAGCTGGAGGTCACTGTCTGAAGAAAAGAATGAGTGACAACCCTAAAATCCAAAACCAGTGGTGGTGGTATTGAGGTATTAAGTACGCAGATCCTTCACTTAAAGAAAAAATGTGTAACATTTAGGGGGATTCATTGGCAGAAACTGAATATAATATACATATCTATGTTTTAATCAGTGTATAATCACCTGAAACTAAGAATTGTAGTGTTTTCTTTAGCTTAGAAAAATACATTTATTTCTACATAAGCCATCTTGCACCGCCATGTTTCTACAGCAGCCAAGAATGGACAAACCTTATACTGGCGCATTTCAATTTTACGTTATCTGAAGATAGGGATGCGTCAGAAAACCGGTATTAAACGGGCCCCGGTGCTAAATTATTGAAGATCAGGGTATTGATGAGTCCTGACGTTACTGGTGTTTTTTATTAGTACTTTTTTATGTGTTGCTGTAATATTGCTGCTCCCCCTGTCGGGCTGAGCTCCTCCAACTACACTCACACATAGACACATAGGAGCAGAGCTGCTCCTCTCTGCTCCTCCGGTCCCCACTGGGAGTCAACACAGACACCACACTGCTGGAGACCCCAGCAGTGTGGTGGGTCCAGCAGGTATTGCCTGGCCCGCTGGAGACAAGGGAGGCACGGGAGAACCAGGACTGAGCGGGACAGACTGTCAGACCCTGCTGCAGTAAAATGAGAGGTTTTCTAAAAGTAATCTGGTGCTCGGAAGCACCAGTAGAAGTAAAGAATGGCATTCAAATTTGTGCTTAAGTACAGCACTTGAGTAAATGTACTTAGTTGCATTCCACAACTGTCCAACACTAACCGAGAAGATGTCTGAATTCGGGCCAAGAATTTTGACACAACTTTTCCTTCAAGGCTTATAGAAATGACCCTGGCACCCTGTATTCCCATAGCTTCCTCCACAAGACCCCCCAAGGGACATAGTCATAATCCTTCTACAAGTCCACAAGACACATGTAGACTGAATGCGCAAACTCCAATGACCCATCCTTCCAAAGGAAAATAACATGTCCACTGCATGCCTGATTGCATTCATTAAATGCCCAACTATTTAGGGAATGGAATTGCATGAACAATAAATATTAGCCATCAACATCAGCCCTCCAAAGCCTTTATTGGTAAAACATTAATTATATCAATTCATAAAGCTCCTGTCGTTACCACTCTCAGTCAGAATGCAGATGGACTCATCGACCAGCAGATGTGCTTGGTAAATTAATTCAGTTTGATTTGGTAGACAGGGATCAATAACTGCATTCTGAGTTATTACTACACTAGCCGAGGACCCAGCTGATGAATCCAGTCTTCTTACAGTCTGACAAACAGCCAAGGATGATCATCATTTAAAGTCGACACTCTGACATCCACAGACGATACAGTCATTTGTAATTCTCCTCCAGTTTATCCTTTGATTACTAACCGTGACACTTCCACTGGAGGGATGGGCCCTAAGGCAAACACACACACACACACTGCTATTTACATTGGGATGATAAGCTCATTAACTCTATGTGGCTGATTGGCATCACCCAGCTGTAATTCCCCAGCCAACCATTTGTCCTGGGTGAGGTATCAGCAATCACCATTTTAAATGAGGGAAGGTGATATGAAATGCTAATTCAGCAACTAGGATCAATACCGGTTACCCA